AGTGGTTGCCAACTGTACATGAACACGGCAGGTGATCAGGCCGCCGCCAAGCAAGGCATCTTCGTGGTGGCTGGGGCGGAGTCTGCAGAGAAGAACGGAGGCAAGGAGGGAAAGGTGGGGGATACGACACGGCAGCAGCAGCAACAGGAGGAAGCAGAGGAGACACGGGCGCAGATTACCTTTTCCACGGGTGCAGGCAGTCTAAGTACCATGACCAGTAGCTCCAGTGATGCAGCTCACTGCGGTCCCAGGACTCAGCCCACTCCCATGATGGTGTCCACCATGGCTGGCCACTACCCAACTTTGGTGAGTTCGCCATTAATGTTATGTCTCATTCTTTACTGGAAGTGTGTGTCGTGCATGCCTCCTACATGGGCCGATAGATCAAGACAGGGACCAGCTCACGGTATACGAGGCGTTATTCGGGTTGCATTCTTATTGGAAATGCCGAACATGAAGGGGGGGGGTGGACGACGACAAGCATAGAGATGGCTTCATCTACGCCAGCCACCTGCGCCCGATCCTGTCTCCGGTTTTCTTGACTGCGTCTTGACACCGGGCACACGCGGGGAGTGGAATAGAGAACGAGGTAGATGCGTCACAAGTCATCGTCTCTGCACCATCCTGCTGTGGAGTACACGGTGGACATCTTCGAAGCCGATGATAAAACTTTCGTAGTCGGCTCTCCATTCTGAAAGCGTTTAAGTCTGAAGATCAATCGGTCGGAATTAGACGGATCTATTTATTTTCTGTTTCACAGTCCTGCTTTCTGACGGAGGTTTTTTGGGGGCATGACGGCCGCTGGTATTTTTTGATAATAATGGATTCTCCGATCGCTGTTAATCGCGGTTGTCATGGGAGGATGACACTTAACTAGAAAGAATGTCTCAAACGTTATTGTCGCGTAGAATATTCTTAATGTGATCAGTTATCCTGTCAACAAGCCCACCCCAGGAGAAATCGATAAATCTTATGACTATGAAAGGTGTAGGAACGATAAAAAATGAGTCGAGGTATATAAAAGCAGACAACAGTACAAGCGTAAACAAATGATACGTAGAAAGACTATCTGACTGAAATAATTCATTCCTGCATATTTAAAAGATGATTTGGAGAGGAGGCATATCACTGCTGGAAACCATTTGGAAGGGTCGTGGGGCGGAAGGATGTCGGCCTTTTAGGGTGAAAGAGGAAGGACACCGGCTGACTAAACGTAAACAAAAATCCTATTCTAGATGAAAGCGGTACTGAAGTATACTGAAACTTTGCCAACCTACACAATTCGGTTTGGAACTGCACACTGTTTTTGTCAGTTCATAAGATGAACAATAAATATTGGCCACACAGGAGTTTACATTTGGTCAGAAAATCGATGTTAGAATATCGAGGTTAAGGATCAACTCACCTAGTCTTTTTCATACCAAGTCATCAAAAACGCCACAACAAAAGCAAGATAAGACGGTAATGCAAGGTCGAGCGTATCTATCAAGTAAAGGAGTGGGAATTACTGGACAAGAGTACCAATTTTATTAGGCAATCTAATTACTTACAAATTAACCTCTTATTCGCTCCCTCCCCCAAAAGCGCAATATTCGAGATGTGTGTGGACGTAGAATGACTCCCTTGTGTTTGGCAGTAATGTTCACCATGGAATCTTGCTGGAGGTAGGACGAAAAGCCGACTGTCCCAACTGTCCAATCGTTGGTCTCAGATTTCAGTTCAGAAAAATGTAACTAACGTCTTCAACGACAAATATCCTCTTGATTTCATAGGAATCTGGTGAATAGATGACCAATACCAGATAGGAAAGAAAATAAGTAGTGTTTGGATTCTGTCTTTGAATCAAGTGGAGGAGGGGCGTGTGGTTAAACGAGAATTCCCTCTTCAGGTACACACAACTCTATACTCATATTCAGATCTTTTCTACACCGCTCTAAATGTCCACCGTGAGATTAGTCTACTTCAAGTGTCTTTTTCTGCCTGGCATCTAGATTCGATGGAAAAGTGAGGGCGACGGTCACTTCCAAGTCATGGAGGAGGACAAATCAGAGGTAAGTGGGTGATATACAGATTCCGTAGAGGTACGCACATCTCCTATCCCTTAGCCCTTGTAAACACCAGCCAGTTTTGTCAACCTTTCTTTTTGGGCTGCGCACATTCTTGCGCGTGACGGACCCAGCCCGTGTGTGGTACGCGAAGACGGGGGTTCTGCCAGATCAGTAGTCGTGCACAGGTCCATCTCCAGTCGTTACGACACCGTCCTGCCAAATAGTGGACAGGAGGCAGTTAAATAGACGTGGTGAACTCCCCCCTCGCCCATCGATAGATATAGATGAATGTTAGAGTTTTGGGAGGCTATTGATAAGCGGTGGCCGCGATTGGTGGAACAAGAGCTTTATTCGCCTAGTATTCCTGCTGCTGCTGCAATCTTGTACCAGCAATTGCTTCTCCTTCGTCTTCTCAACATCCTAATAGTTCTGAACAAGAATCGCATCCAAGTAACCGCAGATCACCTCTCCCCCTATCCACCCTCGGGACGATAAAACAGGGCGATTTTTCGGAAACCCTTAGACACGAAAGTTGAGTAGGTATG